ATTATTTTTAATAATTAAATAAAACAAAATCAATATTTTTATAATCAATATTGTGTGACCTTAATATCATTGTAGATCACTACGTCATTGCCTTAACTAATAAGAGATCACCATTTTAGTGCAAAACAATTTTAATGAGTTTCGTCCAGCCGTAAAACTTTCCCCGGTAACCATGGACAAGCGCTTTGTAGATATTGGTGGGAGCAGTTAGGCCAAACCTCGTACACCCACATTATTAAAAAATAAAGTAAAAGAAAGAAATGAAAACTTCAATCAGCATACCATAACGAAGCCTAGTCTCATGGTAACGTAGTCTGCTTGTGTTACTGATTCATAGAATTGCTTGAAAAATGAATGCTGAAAAAAAAAAAAAACATGAGAACAAATGTCGAAGATAATGAGCTGACATCTGCTTAAGATTTCAGCTTAATTATACAGAATACTCAGATCAACTTACAATCCAACCCAACAAAGCCGAATCCTTTCCAATACCCATAAACCGATTCTTGATAAAGTCGTTTTCTTGGACAGGGGTAAACTTTTTCTTCAGAACTGCATTGCATAGAACTTTAATTCATAAGAAGAAATTGTAGAAAAAGCAAGTTCAAACACCAATTAGTTATAGCTGTAGTATCTCGTGTTATATTTAAGTTCAAAGATTTCACTAAATCCATCAAGGTGGGATTTTTCAGCTAGTGTTATGGAAGCAATACCCTGCTCTGGATTATAGTCCTTTTTAGTGGGGGCTGATTCCTCCCATTGTTTCCATCGACGGATCGTTGCTTTTCCAAGAAGAATGGTGAGTGCGCAGAAAATCACATGGACAACGGCGAGCACAAAGACAAATATGTGAAGATGGTGCAGTTCTGTCAAGGACAACAATGGCACCTTCCCCTGTAAACAGCCAAAAAGATACTCACTTTATGCATTATGGTGACGAAAATTAATTATTTTGACTGCCGTAGAGATTTACCTTAGCTTTACAGTGAGCGGCGGCGGGATCCAGCGACTCTGATGATGATGACGACGAGGCAGCGAGAAGGTGGCGGACGGTGGCTCTAGGAAGTAACGATGAGAAGAAGGTTTGGAGATGGGAAATCGTGGATTTTTGCTCGGAATCTTTGGAGCACGGCAGCCATTTGTTGGCCAAATTCACCGGTATGCAAAATTTGCTAATCCGATCTTGAAACACCGTCAGCAGCAGCGATATGAACCCCAACAGCATCAACTCTGAGCAAAAACGGCACCGGGAATTCGGATTTAAATGGAAACAGCGTCGACTCTGTTTTATGGAAATTAGTTAATTTGTAGGCATACCTTCTTTGATTTTCTGGAGGGCTTCGAAGAGGGGTTTCACTTTCTGGTCCTTCTTCTTCAAAAACTACAAAAACAATAAAGAAAAATGTGTGACTTTTAACTTCAACGGAAAACAGAGGAGGTGGAGGGGGAGACAGAAAAATCAATAGATCATCACCTTGCCGACGTAATGAAGGGTTCGTTCGACGGTAAGAGAAATTGTTAGAAATGGAAAAGAATGAGAAATATCTAAAGAAAGGTTTATTGCTTTCTTGAATTATATTGTATGTACAATGACTTATATAGGTGTTTACAAAAAGAATATTTTAAACTATAAAGTATACAAAGAGAATATTTTGAAGTATAAAGTATATAAAGAGAATATTTTGAAGTATAAAATATTTACAATAATTCTAAATATAATTGTGTTCACATCTTAACAGCCCCCTTAAACTCAAGATGGTTGTGATGAAACCAACTTGAGTTTGGAAAGAAGAGTACAAAAGCGTCCAAGAAAATGAGCCTTGGTAAAAAGATCTGCTGGTTGATTAGCGGAGCCAATGAAAACCAAATGAACAGTTTCTTGTGCAATATGATGGTGAATAAAGTGACAATCAACCTTAATGTGTTTAGTGCGTTCATGAAAGACATCATTATGAGCTATCTGCATAGCACTTTGATTATCACAATATAAATCAGTAGAAGAAGGTTGAGGAATGCCCATATCTTCAAGAAGCCAGCGCAATGAAAGAAGTTCTGATGTGGTATCCCCGAGAGCTCTATACTCAGCTTCAGTACTAGAGCGAGATGTAATAGTTTGTTTCTTACTCCACCAAGAGATAAGAGAATTCCCAAGGAAAGACAGTAACCAGTGGTAGATCTATGATCAGAAGGATCACCAGCCCAATCAGCATCAGAGTAAGCGCGAAGCACAAGGGAGGAGTTGGCAGAAAAATGGAGTCCATGAAATAATGTTCCCTTAACATAGCGAATAATGCGAAGTACTGTTGCATAATGAGTGGAGTGAGGAGCAGCCATAAACTGACTAACAATGTGAACTGCATATGCTATATCAGGGCGTGTTGTAGTAAGATAAACCAGACTACCAACCAATTGCCGATAACGAGTAGGATCAGAAAGTGGGGAGCCATCCATAGGTGTAAGCTTGACATTAGGTTCAAGAGATGTAGAAACACTCTTACCATCATTAAATTCAGCTTTAGAAACAAGATCGAAGGCATACTTTACTTGAGAAAGCAGGTAGCCATCATCTGAAGAGGTCACTTCAAGTCCCAAAAAATAGCTTAGAACACCAAGATCTTTCATCTCCAATTTCTGACTGAGAGATTGTTTTAACTCCTCAACACCTGCGACATCATCTCCAGTAATAATCATGTCATCAACATAAAGAAGTAAAAGAACTATACCCCGAGCAGTTTTATGAATGAACAAAGCTGTATCATGTGGACTGGAAGTAAAACCAAACTCACTCACAGTAGCACTAAACTTTGCATACCAGGCTCGAGGGGATTGCTTCAACCGTATAATGCACGGCGCAATCGACATACCTTGTTTAGAGGATGGTGGAGCCCAGGAGGTGGTTTCATATAAACTTCTTCTTCTAGGCCACCATTAAGAAAAGCATTTTTCACATCCATCTGAAACAATTTCCATCTCCGTATAGCAGCGATAGCAAGCAAACTGTGCACAGATGTAAGACGAGCAACTGGAGCAAATGTCTCTTCATAGTCGATTCCATACTCCTATGTAAAACCCTTGGCAACCAAGCGTGCCTTGTAACGCTCCACAGAACCATCAAATCGTGTTTTGATCTTGTACATCCATTTACAGCATATTAGAGATTTTTCAGCAGGGAGATCAACTAAATCCCATGTACGAGTGTTCTCAAGAGCTTGTAATTCATCTTGCATAGCTTGTTGCCAAAGAGGGTTAGAAGAGGCCTCTTGATAGGATTGAGGCTCATGTAACGAAGTAACAGCAGGAAAACAATAATAATCACAAAGGTATTTTGGAGGCTTTCTTACCCGAGTAGGATGACTCGAGGATGGGACAACAAGCTCATTTGTAGAGGAGGAAGTAAAAGAAGACTCAAAATTATCTAATGCATTACCAGCAGGCAGATCATCTTCTATAGAACTGGTTGGAGCATGTGGTGAGGCATTGTAGAGCTCATCAGATGTGCCTGCATTAGAATCACTAGGAAATAGCTCAATAGAAGGATTAGTAAAAAATGGAGGTTGATGAGAGGATGACACTTTAAAGTTTGATAATGATGAAAACATAGTGTGTTCCCAAAAGACAACATGACGTGAAACTCGAAGTTTTTGTGACACAGGATCCCAACAACGATATCTTTTTTGTGTAATCCCATAACCCAAAAAACAACATAATCGAGCTCTAGGTTCTAACTTGTTATGTTCATGAGGTGGAAGAAGAACAAAACATGCCTAACCAAAAACCTTAAGAAGATTATAAGCAGGAAGAATACCATGTAGACGCTTGTATGGAGACTGGTTATTAAGGACTGATGATGGAATGCGATTAATAAGATAAACCACTGTAAGAGCAACTTCACCCCAAAATCGCTCTGGACAAGAAGATGAAATGAGCAAAGCACGAACAGAATCAAGGATGTGTCTATGTTTGTGTTCGGCTTGCTCATTTTGTTTAGAAGTATAAGGACAAGATTGTTGTGGCAGTGTACTCTGTTCTTTCAAAAAGGATTGAAGTTTAGTATCAAGATATTCAGTAGCATTGTCAGTTCTCAAAACTTTGATAATTTTAGAGAATTGAGTTTTGACCATGGTAGCAAAATCAATATAAATTTGTGATAATTCAAAGTGACTTTTCATAAGGTATATCCAGGTAAAACGAGTATGATCATCAATAAATAACACGAAGTACCTAGAACCCCCCATGGTGGGTGTAGGAGATGGACCCCAAACATCAAAATGCACGAGATCAAAAGGAGCAGTAGAATGAGAATGACTACTCAAAAAAGATAAAGCTGGTTGCTTTGCAGATTGACATGACACACAATGCACAGATTCATTCGAAACTGATCCTAATAAACCACGTGAGATAAGTGGACGAAGTTTACCAACTGAGGTATGTCCAAGTCGTGAGTGCCACAAATGGAGAGGAGAAAAATTAGTAGCAGCACAAGCTTGGAAGATTTGATGATATGGAATTTGCAAGGACTCTAATTCAACCGCACAAAGCAGGGTTTGGATAAATCGATCATTTGGAAATGATGGTGTATACATTTTATTATCAGGAATATGCAGATAGTTGAGCTCAAACAAATGCCCCACCTTGCGACCAATTCCAAGAAGTTGTCCTGTTTGTGGGTCCTGCACACGACAACCATGAGTAGAAAATGTTACTTCAAGACCAAGATCGCATAATTGACTAACAGATAGAAGATTATAACTAAGTTTTGGAACTAAAAGGGCATTTGGTAAAGTCAATGACTTTGTAGAAACATTACCAATGTGACTAACATTCATAGGAGAACCATCAGCAGAATAAATATCAGGAAAGGAATTATTAGGTGACATTGAAGAGAAATGAGCAGTAATTGAAGACATATGGTTACAACAATCAGAATCGAAATACCAAGGTTTGGTACCCGGAGCAGTAGATAAGGTAGTGGGAGCATTAAAAAGATTTAATATCACCTGTTTTAGGGATTTAAGGTTGACATTAGGTTGTTCTATCACTTCTTTGGCAATCGTAGCAGTAGTAGGATGAGTTACAATCCTTTCAAAACTCGTTATAGAATCAGTAAACTCATAATACTGAAAAACTCTAAAAATATGGAGAAATAGATGCCAAGATCGAAATAACAGACCAACAAAATACCTCAGAAAGGGTCTGAAAATCGAGGATAAACAATCCGATCTGTAGGAGAAGAGATCCCAACGACAAAGTTTCAGATCTGGAATGGAATTGAAAATCCAACTCCAAAAATACCCAACAGTGATGATAAGAGAAAAGAACCAAGAGCTTATAGCTCTGATACCATGTTAGAAATGGAAAAGAAGGAGAAATATCTGAAGAAAGGTTTATTGCTTTCTTGAATTATATTGTATGTACAATAACCTATATATAGGTGTTTACAAAGGGAATATTTTAAAGTATAAAGTATATAAAAAGAATATTTTGATGTATAAAATATTTACAATAATTCTAAATATAATGTATTCACATCTTAACAGAAATGATGACGATGACACTGCAGACAATAGCCACGACCCATGACGGCGTATACTCCAAAGTCACGCCTCCTTGGGCCATAATCAGTCTGTAACTTGCAGTAAGGAATCAGAACAAGGATTGCAAAGAAAACAGAGGGTGTGGGAAGGGGAGCAGATAGCTGCAAAGAGATATTGCTCATCCCCCTCGATTTAAAGTACAATGCTTGTCTGCAAACGTTGATTCACCAAGTTTGAGTCAATTGACCCACCAATTTAACGTCTGAGTCTTCTTACTAAAAACCAGAATTGCTGTTATTTTTCTGCTAGAAGAAGCAGATGTCGGAAAAGAACAAGACATAGTTTTCGTGCAACGCAGCGAAGGACCTGCCGTGGGACAAGGGCGGCAGCAACCGCCCCTAAGCTTTTGAAAAATGTCTAACAAGGTATGTCAATTTTTTTTAACTACAAAAATTATTTTTGATATTTGAATTGTTAATAATTTAAAGATTGATATATGTAAAATTTAGGATATCAAAATATAAAGAACTAGAAAAATTGGGGCCTTGATATGACGCTTTATAAATACTCCATAGATTTTGTAGAAGTAAATAGAAGGTTAACCACACCTGCCCTTTCGGGCCAATTAGCAGCTTGCCAATTTGAGATACATACTTCCTCTCCCATAAACCTGCCCCTTAACAACTTGTTCAAAAAAAAAAAAAAGAAAAAAGAAAAAAGAAGGAGGTTAACCCATTAGGGATTTGCTAAGATCTTCCTCTTCTTGCATCTTACAAAAGATGACTCTCAATTGATAAAATACCAAACAATTGGTGTAAAAAAGAGGACCTAGTTTTTAATTTATATCAAAACCTTAATGCTAATTCTTCCCATTAAGGGCCCATTGAGTTTAAACCTACACTAACCATTATTATATTATTATATGCACGAGATGTTTTAAGCCCACACATAACTGATCACAATAATTTGGCTTTTTGTAAATGTCTTAATATTTTGTACTAATACAAGTCAACCCATTTTATTAAATCAAAATCAATAAATAATGGGAGCCCACACAAATAGAAAATTTATAACAATAATAAGTTTGTGCCTTGCAGTGAGGAATCAGTACAACGATTGCGAAGAAAACAGAGGTGTGGGAAGGGAGCAGATAGCTGCAAAGAGGTGTTGCATACTGATTCTGGTTATAGCCGCCACTCATAATGTTAAGGTTACTAAAAATTATATCATATTGACTTTAAAAATGTTAATTTTGTTTAATTTGATTTATAAAAATGATTAATAATTATAATTATTAATTAATAATAAATAAAATAATTAATAAATAAAAATTAATCAACAAATTAATATTTTTAAATATTATTTAAAAAATTAAAAAAATTAACGACTTTAACATT